ACAACTTGAAACATAGTCGGCATTGGCAATTTTTGACAGTCCCTATGGAAACTGGGAAAAAAAACACACACACTAATGGTTGTTAGTTCTGGATACTAGAACTATGAGTCATTTTAAAAATTTCATTTACGTGGGACCAGGCATGGTGTCTCATGCCTGTGATCCAGCACTTGGGAAGCTGAGGTGGGTGGATTGCCTAAGCTCACAGGTTCAAGACCAGCCTGACCCAGAGTGAGACCTCATCTCTAAAAATAGCTGGGCATTTTGGAGAGCCTGTAGTGCCAGCTACTTGGGACACTGAGGCAAGAGATTCACTTAAGCCTGGGAGTTTGAGGTTGCTGTGAGCTATGACAACATGGCACTCTACCAAGAGTGACAAATTGAGAGACTCTGTCACAAAAAGAAAATTTCACTTAGCTACAAATACTGATCTTGCATTACTTGTATAGTTGGGCCAAAAAAAGTTATGATAAATTTAATTTTTAAATTAAAAAGCTATGCATGAGCTATGACGCCATGGCACTCTACCAAGAGTGACAAATTGAGAGACTCTGTCACAAAAAGAAAATTTCACTTAGCTCCAAATACTAACCTTGCATTACTTATATAGTTGGGCCCAAAAAATATTATAATAAATTTAATTTTTAACACCTTTATGCATCTCTAGAGAAGTGGCCTAGCTCTGGGGCTGGGAATGTGAAACACAATGTTCTCTTTGTTGTTGGAAGATTGTGTCCCTTCGGTCAAGCTTTGATCAAAAGCTCCTAAGTGACCAGCCATCCAGGGCCTATCAGAGCAGCTCGATAACACTTATCATGCTTGATTGCTCTGTCTCAGGCTTGCCATGGTTGGGTTCTTTAGATTTCATTCCATTGCTTGATTTGATATGTTCACGGAACATTTCTGAACACCTGTGCTCTTGGCAAGGGGTGCCTGCCTTAGAGACACTGTTCCCAGTGCCCCTCAAAGCAAGGCACGGCGATACCGAAGGAGGCAGGGCTAATGGCAAGGTAAACGCTGTTGTCTAATCTTTCAGCCTAACCAAACTGGCACCATGTGACTACCTGGCTTCCCTGCTGGCAGCCAGGGATCAGCCCTGACTGATCAGACCTCATGAAGAGTGCACAGTTCCAGAATCAGGATTCCCCTTTCCCTCCCAATAGTTTCTCTGGTAGAGGAAGCTGTGAAACACCTTCTCTGAGTGCCCCTAGGATGGGGACACTGTAGTAACCAGGGAATGCCCAATTATACTCTAATACATGGGTAGAAACCAAGTGGATGTTCGTGGACACAGAGCCTGACCTAGGACAAGAGCCTTCTGAGATCCAGGTTCAGGTCCCACCTCTGTCACTACTTAGTTATGCAAGACTGCACTGATCTCTTAACCCCTCTGAACTATGTCAGTAGGAATAAAGCAGGATTAATAAGTCTTTTTGAAAAGATCAGGCATCTCAAAACACAAAGAGTCACAGAAATGTAAGCACTGCTGTGCTGATGGAGGTTTGTAGAAAACCTGAAATAATGGGATGCCAACTTCCTCATTCCCAGATCACTCACATACCTGAGCAGAAAACCACCTCACAGGGCACTGAAAAGTCGCCAAAAGTGGAAGAGCATGAGCACTCAAGTGGATCTTTGTGGAATTTTCAAGGAGTTTCCTGTCCTGTTTTCCATAGCTGATGACAAGTTAGCACAAATTTAGTGACTTATAACTCACATTTTCTCATGACTTCTGTGGGTCAGGAATCCAGGTCAGTTTAGCTGGTTTCAGGGATTTTTAGCCAGGGCTGTGGTCTCATCTGAGGTTCGAATGGAAAAGGATCAGCTTCCAAGCTCACATGGTTGTTGGCAAGACCCAGTTCCTTGTAGACTAAGGGCCTCAGTTCCTTGCTGGTTATTGGGTGGAAGCCACTCTCAGTTCCTTGCCATGTAGGCAGGTGTCTTCATCAGAGCCAGCAAAGGAGAGAGTCTACACCAGTGATTTTCAACCAGCATCCCTCAGCACAAATATTTTTAAAGCTCACTAATTAAATTATTTTTGGAAGAGGTTCAAAGTACCTTAAGCATATTCTCTTTTTTACTCCTTTTTTATTTTGATCAACATAATTTAAGCATGCCAAAGAAGTTTAACTATAGGTTCAAGAGTACTGTGAGATTAAAAAAAGGTTGAAAAACAGTGGTCCACACAGAGAGTCAACTAGTAAGACACACATTACAATCCTGTATACTGTAATCACAAAAGTGACATCCCGTTTGCTTTCCTGTATCTGTTGGTTAGAAGCAAGTCACAGGTCCCACCCACACTCTAGAGAAGGAGATGACTCAGGGATGTGAACACCAGCAGGCCTGGATATCTGGGGGCCAATCAAGTCTATCTGCCATGTGCCCTGAATTGGCATTACCAATAATGTCAGCCTCCCTCAGGGTATAAAAAATCTCTAATGTGGGAAGACTTAATTATCTTCACCAATCTAAGAACTTCTTCCCCTCATGGCTTCTATGACCCAAATACCCTTCCAGGTGGGAAAGAAAGACCCCCTCCCCAATTCTCTCATGACCTGACCACAAACTCATTGAAGAAACATCCTATTCATCTGGCCGGTGGATGTACCCTCAGCTGCGAGAGCATCCCCGCATAGTACACAGCGGTGCACAGTAAAAAGAAGTTGCATGGATATGTAAAGGAGCCTGCAGGTTTCTGACTGAAGCTACCTCAACTATAATTCCAGCACTTTAGAGGCTGAGGCAGGAGGACTGCTTGAGGCCAGGAGTTCAAGACCAGCCTGGGCAACAAAGTGAGACATTATCTCTACAAAATATAAAAAAGGAAAGTTAGTCAGGCATGGTGGCACACGTAACACCAGCTATTCAGGAGGCTGAGGCAGGAGGATCTCTTGAGCCCAAAAGTTTCAGGGAACAGTGATCTACGATGATGCCACTGCACTCTGGCCTGGGCACAAAAGAGTATGCACAAAGGTGGGCGGAGCCTGTGGCTCAAAGGAGTAGGGTGCCAGCCCCATATACAGGAGGTGGTGGGTTCAAACCTGGCCCTGGCCAAAAACTGCCCCAAAAAAAGAGTATGCACAAAGGACTCAGTCTTTGTTTCTTAAAGAAATTATTATGAAAGTTTTCATATATGCATAGTATATACATAAAGAAAATGACAGGCCAGGCATGGTGGCTCACACCTGTAATCCTAGCACTCTGGGAGACCAAGGCTGGAGGATTGCTGAAGCCCAGGAATTCAAGACCAGCCTGAACAAGAGGGAGAACGATCTCTACTAAAATAGAAAACTTAGCTGAGCATTGTGGCAAGTGCCTGTAGTCCCAGCTACTCAGGAGACTGAGGCAGGAGGATCACTTGAGTCCAGGACTTTGGGATTGCTGTGAGCTAGGCTGAGGCCATAGCATTGAAAGAGAGAGATAAAATAACAAACACTCAAGTACCCACCACCCAACCTAACACACCAACAGCTCCAAAGACTATAACGAGCAGTCCCCCCATCACATGCCCTCCCTCTCTCCCACCCAGTGGTAGTCTTGAGTAAGGGGATTCCGTCTGGCACCCCTAGGACTTCAGCATGCATCCTCAAGACCATCATATCCTCCATACAAGTGCTGAGATCAGTCCAAAGGCAAGAGCACAGGTTTAAGAGAAAAGAGAAAAGAGAAGGAACCAGAGAAGTAGAAAAGAGAAAAGAGGGGAACCAGGCACCAGAAGATGTGAAAGTGGAAAATACAGGGCAAATATTCACATCTAAGGCACAAAGGTATCTTAACAGGTGAGTTTGAAATGTGCTTTGTACTAAGTGCTTTGTACTAACCACAACTGGCCCTGACCTTTGTCCACATGCCCCTGTGCTCACCTAGAGGCTTGGGGGTGGGAATTTGGAGCTTTGATGGACTCTATTGCTCTCGAGGCTGGAAAATCCATGGATGGCCCAGAGGTCCTGACTTCAGAACAAGACCCTCACATAGGGCTCCCTACCTACCTGGTGACCAGTCCTACCCTCCTCCCCAACAATTTAAGAATAGGTTTTCAGTACACTGTGCCCACTGAATAAAACCCACACAGTAGAGAATCAGCTAGGTTGGTAAACAGCCTTTTCTAGGAAGAGACCCTGTCTGAGTCATTCACACACTAGCATGATTTGTGTGCACAGATTGCTTTGCTCCATGGCAGCAGATTCCAACGTAGCTTTAAGCATAAAGCATGGAGGAGTCAGACACAGATGGGATCTTGAAGATGGAGAGGGTGGAAGGAGGGGAGCAGTAGGAAGAGCAGGGGTGCAGAAAAGGAGGGACACTGTTTCTAAACCTGGCCTGTTGCAGTAAAGGAAGGCAGCATTCTTCTCTACCCTCCCTAACTGCCTCCCTACTATGCACACCTCTTTTTCAGACTCAGCCCAGCTTCCACAAAAAACAAGCCATAGATAAGTTTCCCAGGCTAATTAGACTTGCGACGACCCCACATGATGAAATTTACATGGGGGAAATGTGTCCCGAGTCCCAAACAACCCCGCTACACATGTGCTTTGGGTCTACATACAATTCAGCATCCTCTGCCCTCTAAGAACCTCAGCTGTGCATCCCATTGGGACAAACCACGGTCCGCTGAGCGGCTTTGACACCTGTTCTATGCTGCGTTTAGCGCATTTTTAAACAATTTTGTCAAAACACTCAGCTTGTAAAGTTTTAATGCAGGCCCTTCTCATGGCTTAAGAAGTAAGCGACCACTCAATCTCTCCCCTGTCTCTCTGTGGTCCGTCCCCTTCGAGGCCATGGCTACAGTGGAAAGCTACCTGACTGGAAACTTCTCAGAAAGGGACAATCTTATCAGGAACTTTTCTGTTTGGGGTTAGGATAATGGGTGACATTTGGAGGCTGATAAGGCCGGTGCCGGGGACCTGAGCTGTATATAAGGAGCAGCCCCTGCTGTGGCTCTGTACCTTCGTCCCTTCTTGCCTTCTCCCTCGACTTGGGTCTAGGAAGAAAGAAACATGAAGTGGCTGCTGCTCCTCGGCCTGGTGGTGCTCTCCGAGTGCACCATCTACAAGTGCGTGTGGTGACGGCCGGGAAGGACGGCTTCCTGCGGTGGCTTCCTGGCCCCTTGGCTGCCACTCACATCATCTTCCTTTCCTCCCACATTTTCTTTCTTCCCTTCTCTCCTCGGACAGCCTCTCTGTCCCATCTAGAGTCTTCTTTTCCTGTCTCTCTCTCTGCCCTTCTTGGTGGGGGGGGACAGTACTGTAGCTGCGGTTACTGACTCAGGCCCCCCAGGCCCAGCCTAAGTTGCTCCCAGCTCACTCACTAGTCAGCAATTGCTGAACTTCTTTGCATTTGGGGGCAAAAAAAAAAAAAAAAAATGGGAGCTTCTCCTCTCTTCCTTCATTCTTTCTTTCATAGACCGGCTTCCTTTTCCTTCTGGGACCTCCCCAGCACTCCATGAGCGAAATCCTTGCCTGATCACTCTTCCTCCTCCAAACCACAGGGTCCCGCTTGTCAGAAAGAAGTCCTTGAGGCAAAGCCTGGCCGAGAATGGTCTCCTGAAGGACTTCCTGAAGAACCACCATGTCAACCTAGCCAGCAAGTACTTCCCCAATGAGGCCACCACCCTGCTGTCCGCCCAGCCTCTGGAGAACTACATGGACGTAAGTGCTCAAAGCAGCCGGACAGAGAGTGCCCCAGGGGTTTCGGAGGATAGGCCAGGGTTCTAGTCCCCAGGCAGTAACCAGGGGCTGCTCCCTGGATCTCAGTAGCAGCAGCCCAGGGCTTTCAGGAAAACTCCTGCTGCTGTCCTTTATTCTTTCATCCATGCTCATTCATGTTCATTTCCACTGAGCACCTTACATGTGTCAGGACCTGTGCTGGGCCTGGGGGGAACAGCAGTGAACAAAGACACAGTCCAGTAGTGAGAGAAAGACAAAACTCCAGGAGCCTCATGATCCAAGGAAAAGAATAACCGGGGTGAGGACCACAATGTCAAGGTGTCTGCTGTGAGAGCCTGACCTGTGATGGGCAGGGAGACCCCCCCTCCCCTGGGGTAGTGAAGGAAGAGCAAGTTTCCAAGAGAAGGGGAGAAAGCAGTAGAGAGCCAGACCACAAGGGCCAAACCCTGAGACAGGTGGGAGAAGAGCATGAAGAAAGAAGGGCAGTGCATGCAGGGAGAGCAGAGAGGTAGGGAGAGCGCCCCAAAGAGGGCCTGAGTGGCCCCCGAGGGTAGTACCAGAGCAGAGAGAGAAGACAGGGACAAAGGAGGTCTGTTTCCTAATGGCCACTGATACGTCTTAAATGGGGGATGACGTGATCAGAGTTTCAGGAAGATCATTCTGATTCTTATTTAAGACCCTATGGCAACGCCCTGCCCTTTAGCAAATATTGTATACGTGTGTCCCCTCTGTGAATGGCACAGGGCCAAGGGCACAAAGCAGTGTCACCTGTAGCTAGAAGCTTGGCCTCTGAAATCCACCAGACCTAGTGCAAATGTGGGTTCTAATGCTCCCATGCCATATGACCTCAAGCAAGTCACTTAAGTTATCTGAGCCTTAGTTTCCTGGTCTGTAAAACAAAACCACTATTATCTACCATCGGAGAGTTGTCACTAATAAAACGATCGTAGCTTTTGGCGTGTTTAACACAGGGCCTGGCTGGCCCTTGGTAAGAGGCTTAGTTAGTCCATTTATTGATTTAACAAATGGTTAAGAAGCACACACTATACACCCAAAGCCATGCAAATTGCCCAGGAAATAATGGTGAGTAAGCAAATTTCCTAAAGCTTATATTCTAGGAGGGAAGACAATCAAACACGTGTGACAATTTCAGGTAATAAAAAGGCCCATGAAGAAAAATTAATTAATTGAAGTAAGAAGAAGAGAGAGGGGAAATTTTAGATAAAGTGGTCAGGGAAGGCCGCTTGGCAGAGATGACATTTTACTAGAGCTCTGAATGATTGAAAAAAAGGAGTCAGCCAAGGAAAAATCTGGAATAAGTCTTTTCCTAGCACTAGGAACAGCAAGTGCAAAGGCCCCAGGGTAGAGATAGAAAGACAAATACCTAAAGATAGCAAGCAGATCAGTGTGGCTGGAACCGAGCTGGCAAGGGAAGTGCTGCCACTAAGAATAAAAATATTGGCGATGTCCTTTCTTACAACCTGCTATACACACCTAGATTCAGAAACAAGAGATCTCAAGCTGGGTGTGTTGGACCATGTCTGTAATCCTAATAGTACTTTGGGAGGCCAAGAAGAGGGGATTACTTGAAGGCAAGAGTTTAAGACCAGGCTGGGCAGCATAGTGAGACCCTCATCTCTATAAAAAAATAGGAAAACCAGCCTGGCATGGTGGCTCATGCTTGTAGTCCCAGCTATTCAAGAGGCTGGCTGAGGTGGGAGGATCACAAGCCCAGGAGTTTGAGGTTGTAGTAAGCTATCATGATGCCACTGTACTCTAGCCTGGGAGAATAAGACCATATCCCTCCCCATTCAAAAAGAGAAAGAAAAAAGAAACAGAGCTCTAAAAAATAAAAATAAAAAAACAAGCGATCTGGACAGGTTTCTGCCTTTAGGTGACTTCTTTACCTCCTGATCAGCAATTTGATGAACAGGCATTTACACCTTTACTCTGCCAGCTCTAGAATGGCAAGACTAAGACCCAGAGGCAAAGGCTGGAGACGGGAAAGCAGATTACTATTAGGAGAGAAGAGGCAGAGGGTAATCAGGAGAGCAATCTGAGAAGACTTTGAGGAGGAAGTCAGACCAGGGCTGGGCACTGAAGGATGAGTACATTGGATGGGGAGAGAAAGGCAATAACTGGAGGGAAAGGCAGGGAGACAGAGACCATCCCGAGAGGGAGCCCCGGGTCCCTGAACGGTGCTGCCCTGGTCCCACAGACAGAGTACTTTGGCACCATCGGCATCGGAACCCCCGCCCAGGAGTTCACCGTCATCTTTGATACCGGCTCCTCCAACCTGTGGGTGCCCTCCGTCTACTGCTCCAGTCCTGCCTGCAGTGAGTATCTGCCCGCCCTTGCTGCCAGCACCAGCTGGCCCTGGGGGAGCCTGAACACTCACGGGCTTCGAACAAGTCCCACTTCAAGCCTGTTGGAGTCACTCAGTGACTCACTCAACAGCATTTACTGAACATGTACTATGTGCCGAGCACTGGGCTCAGGTGTGCTGGGGGGTACTGGGATAAATCAGACATGGTTCCCCATACTTGAGGAATTCACAGTCTGAGGGCAGAGAGAAGATCCCCTAAATAGCCATAGCCTGGGGTAGAAAGTGTCTGGGGCCCAAAGCAAGACAGGGATAGCAGGTAATAGGACAACCGGCAGGGATGAGTCCAGCGGTAGAAAATGGCTTAAGAGCCTGGCTAGGGCACATAGAAGTGAGTGATGAAATCATTTAAAAAAAACAAAAAACTCTTGAGTGTGGGACACAACTACAAGACGGACTCTACCTAACAAATGCAAACATTGACCTAAAATTTAAGAAAAAATCATGGGCTTGCTAATGTTAGACAGAAAGGTTGTCTTGGGAAGTGATGGACGACATTGCAAGTTCCTTCCTCTTCCAGCTTTTAACCTGAGTTTTACTTAGAGGAGGTGCCTGAGAGCTGGCCCATGTCTCAAGGGAGTGCTGGCTGTGAAGGTGCTCCCCACAGGGTGGCCACAGGCCGGCTCCACTCAGTGTCTGCCTGGGGGGCCCTCGGGGACAACTGGTTTGGCTGGGGACCTTCCTTCAGCAAGACAGTTCCAATGAATCCAACGAGACAGGAACAGAAGCTGGTGTCTCTTAGGCTCCAAAGGTCTAGAGAAAAGGTTACTGTTCTCTTCCAGAGCCCACCCAGAACTAAGGTGTCCCATCCCAGGCAGATATCCCCCTGCCCACCCATGACCCAGCTTTCGGAAGCTGACGATGCCACTTCTCATGCCCACAGGCAACCACAACCGCTTCAACCCTCAGTCATCCTCCACCTATCAGGCCACCAGCCAGACCGTCTCCATCGCCTATGGCACCGGCAGCATGACTGGCATCCTTGGATACGACACTGTCCAGGTGGGGACCTGTGGGCTGTCACCACAGCCTGCCCAGCCCTGGGGCCAGCTTCCAAGGACCTTGGGGACTACCATGCACCCCAAAAATAAGCTCATCCAAGCAACATGAGTCTTAGCATTCACAGAAGGATTGGTGACAGGGAAGTCACAGACATTTCTAACTGGGGTGCTAGTAGCTAAAGGAGGTGGGGCATCTGAAGCCATAAGCCAGCCTCAGCCATGCCCGAGCTGCCTGTCATGGAGGGGTGAGGGTGGGAAGAAAGTAAGTAAAGACTCAATTGTCTTCTAGCTGCCCCACATCTGCAGCCCCCTCTGAGTCATAAAACTCTACAAACTGCCCCCCAACCCAACTTTCAGGGCATGGCAGGGGTCAGGGCCCTGATTTGCATAGGATCTGCTTTGCATCTGCTCATCAGAAACAAAAGCACAGTGACCATCTGTTCTCCAGCAAAAATCTCACACTGAGTCACAGGTTGTGGCCATCTGGAGATGGGCTGTACCAGTTACCTCCAGCGGAGGAATGAGCAATCCAGGAGACAGCCTCTCCCCCTCCTCCCAGCCTGTTCCCCGAGGAAGCGAGCCCTACACCAGGGCTGACCCTTAGCAGAGCTCCCTGCACATAAGCTGATGGTGACTGTCATCTCGGTTCCCCCCACCCAGGTCGGAGGCATCACTGACACCAACCAGATCTTTGGCCTGAGTGAGACAGAGCCTGGTTCCTTCCTGTACTATGCCCCCTTCGACGGCATCCTGGGCCTGGCCTACCCCAGCATCAGCTCTTCCGGGGCCACACCCGTCTTTGACAACATGTGGAACCAGGGCCTGGTTTCCCAGGACCTCTTCTCCGTCTTCCTGAGCTCGTAAGTTGGATGGGGAAGGGCCTCCCCCGGAGAGGTCAGAATCACTGGGCATGGGGGGAGCCCGTCTGGGACTGGGTAGGGTGGAAAGAGTGGAGAGCAAGGGATTTTGAAAGTCAATGTCTGAGCTCGAAGAAGTGTGTCTTTGGAGAATAATGTGTCAAGTCTGTCTATGATGGGCCAGGTGTATCTGTTTTCTTTTACCAGCGTGTGTCACCATCCCCTTGACTTGCACAACTCGAATGTCATTAGCCATTACCCTCCAACTCCAGTTCCCTTATTCTTGGCCCCCCAAAGACAGCATTTAAAGTGAATCCACTTAAAACAGGGACTAAAATTTCATAGCAAAAAAAAGTGAGAGAGAGAGAAGAAGATTTGATCAGGACTTAGAACTTGAACAAGGGCATTTTTAAATGATGAAAGAAAGTTTCTTTGATGATTTAACAAAAATCTAGGTTCCACTTGTGATAATTAATTCTAATAATGAACAAAGAATAACCAAGTGTTTGTTTTGGCTGAGTAGAGTTTTATGCAGGAATATCTGAGGGTGTCATGAACATTCCCAAGACACTTACTTCCTCCTCTTTTGAAAGAGTTCCTCATCATTCCTGGGTTTCCTCAGTTTTTAACTATTCAGCTAGATTTTTACTATTTTACTATTTTGCAAAGGTGGGGTGGGTTAAGAGTAGGGTCCTATTATATAAATGGCCAGGTCTTTGGGGGAATAATTTCTTATTACCGCCTACATTTGCTTCCCTCTCTAACCTGAACCTACAGAGATTTAGAATATAAACATTCCAGTAATGAGGACCCCTGTTTGTTATAGGACCCCTGCTTATTTACAACAGGAGGGCTCTTTTATCATTTGTTCTCCTCTTGTCCACGTAATAGTCGAATCTACATTTCTAAGTTCGTAAATATTCCACGAAGTGCCTTTTTATCTCTCCAGCTAGATCAGAGCTGCTCAGTCTCAGAATTTTGAACCAGATAATTCTCTGTGGTCAAGGGCTGTCCCATTCATTGGAGGATCAGCAGCGTCCCTGGCTTCTCTACCCATTAGGTGCCAATGGCACCCCTAGTCCCCATCAAATATGACCATCAGAAATGTCTCCAGACCTCTGGGGACAAAAATCAGTTCTGGCTAACAACCAGCAAGCTACATCACCAAGTCCTTAAGAACAACACAGTTACATGTTCACTTCTTCTGCGGTCCCCAAGGCAATTAGTGAGAAACCCAGGAGACTTAGATTCTTCTAATCATAGTTCTGCCACTTCCTGGCTATGTGAACTTGGGCAAGGTGCCTCACCTCTCTGAGCCTTAGTGTCCTCATTGTAAAGTGGAAATAATAATAACACTGCATGGGCCCTGGAGTAAGATGGAGGGAAACCATGTCTGTCACCCACTCAGCACTGCCTCTGGCACTGGTAAGTGCTTGATCGAGGGCAGCTCTGAAGATGAACACAGCAGATGTCCAGACAAATGAATGAGTGAATGAATGAATCCATGTCTTCTCCCCTCACTGTCCATAGCAATGACCAGAGTGGCAGTGTGGTGATGTTCGGTGGCATTGATTCTTCTTACTACACTGGAGAGCTGAACTGGATACCTCTTTCTTCTGAGGGCTACTGGCAGATCACCGTGGACAGGTAAGACACCCACAGACAGACAGCATCTGGCACAGACCCCACATCCCATTCCTTTATGAGCTCACACTTGCCCAGACTTCCAGACTCCTCTGGGAACAGCCAGCATGGGGAGAATTTATGCCAAGAGGAAGCTGGAAGTTGGCCAGACCAGAGAGACCCCGAGAGAGGCGCCTCACTAAACAGGATGGGAGAGCTGTCTGTGAAGCTCAGACTCTGTGCAGGAGTGAGACAGCCACTTTCCTCTGTCTGGTCAGGGAGGCAGGACAATCTGCCAGCACTCTGAAGAGAGCTGAGGGACCCACTTGACCACATCTCAGCATTTAGGAGGCCTGTGAACTGGTACATGCAGTTCCAGCCTGTCCTTCCCACCCTACCCCGCCTGCCCCCAGACCCCTTGTTCCCTCATGTCTCCACTGTTCTTCCCCCTGCCAATTGCTAGGGTGCCAAACCATGCAGGTTTTCCCCCAAATGAGCAATTTCCTAGGACACAAGACTTCCAGTACTAAAACTGGGACAGTTCTGGGCAAACCAGGTCACCTCATGTCTGCCTAGACATGCTAAAACTTCATCAGTTCCTGCAACTCCCCCCACCCTGCTCCTCTCATCTCTGTCCACTCCCTGCATGTTGTCCACTCTGCCACCTCACCTGCACCTTCCTTCACCTGCCTGGCACCTCTGGGATGTGTTCCCCTGAGTAGCCTCCCTTGCTGCTGTCCACCACCACCCCTCACTTCGGGCATATTCTGTCCCTGCCGTGTGTCCTGCTTGTCCTGCTATTCCACTAACAAGCCACCCTAGTTGCTCCCTGCAGCCAGGAGCTATGTGGCTGGCATGGAGTAGGCACCCAGCAAATACCTGTTAAATAAATGAACTCGTGACAAAGGAGCATGTGTGGGGGAAACTAAAGTTTTATGTTTTGTCCAATGGATGGAATGGGGAGGGACTGTCTGGGGCATCTGGTTACTTCTTGGGGAGATGTACCCCCAGGTGCTTCAGGGAGCCCTTACTTGCATCTCGCACACAGTATCACCATGAACGGAGAGCCCATCGCTTGCAGTCAGGGCTGCCAGGCCATTGTTGACACCGGCACCTCTCTGCTGTCTGGCCCAACCTCCCCCATTGCCAACATTCAGAGCTACATTGGAGCCAGCGAGGACTCATATGGCCAGGTACATCCAGCCCCGACTGCTCCCTTCTAGGCTCAAGTGGTGGCATGCAGACAGAAGGAACAACACCCTCCTAACCATGTCACCCTCACTCATTCCAGATGGTGATCAGCTGCTCAGCCATCAACAGCCTGCCCAACATCGTCTTCACCATCAACGGCGTCCAGTACCCTGTGCCCCCCAGTGCCTACATCCTGCAGGTAAGGAGACTCAGGGCCATGCCCTAAAGGGGCCCACCCAGAACATGGCCACACAGTGCTTGTTCTCTGCAAGGGAAAAATGCACTTTGACAAGCTGAAGGCAAGAGGCAGGTTGACACATACTCTGGACAGCCTTCAGAGAAGTCTATATTAAAAATAAATGGGGCAGTGCCTGTGGCTCAGTGGGTACAACTGAGTGGGTACATGCCAAGGGTGGCATGTTCGAACCAGGCCCCAGCCAAACTGCAACAAAAATAGCCGGGCATTGTGGCAGCCACCTATAGTCCCAACTACTCGGGAGGCTGAGGGAAGAGAATTGCCTAAGCCCAGGAGTTGGAGGTTGCTGTGAGCTGTGACACTACAGTACTCTACTGAGAGCGATAAAGTGAGACCCTGTCTCAAAATAAATAAATAAAATAAATGCATGGGCTCGGCACACGTAGCATAGTGGTTATGGCGTCAGCCACATACACCAAGTCTGGCGGGTTCGAACCCAGCCCAGGCCAGCTAAACAACAATGAAAACTGCAATACAAAATAGCCGGGTCTTGTGGCGGGCACCTGTAGTCCCAGCTACTTGAGAGGCTGAGGCAAGAGAATTGCTTAAGCCCAAGAGTTTGAGGTTGCTGTGAGCTGTGACGCCACAGCACTCCACTAAGGGCAACATCATAAGACTCTGTCTCAGAAAAATAAACAAATAAATAAATAAATGCATGAATGAGAATTTGGATGCAGCCCTTAAGGGAAGAAAAATCGAGGCAAAGGATGATGGGCAAAAGTAAGAGTCTAGTTGGACACGTGGGTCCAAGTTCTGGATTGTAATTACTAACCCATGGACTATGAGCAGGTTGCAACCCGTCTCAGCCTCAATTTCCTCACCTAAAGCAGCATTTCCCACCCTTGCGTAGGAGTAGGGTAATCAAGTGAGACTGACCACACCGGAGCTACCAAGGGGTGGCCAGATGGAAATCCTAGCTTCAATAGGCTCGGGGTTTACAACACTCCTACATGACTCATCTCTTAACAAGTAACAAATCTTTCATCAGAGGAGCCACAGGAAAACCCTTTGGATTCTTATAATGTTAGACGGAAAACCTGATGCCTGGGCCCATCCCCCAGCGATTCTGATTACATAAGGAGGGGGTGAGGCCTGAGCAAGGGGCCTGAAGGGGGAGTGTTCAAAGCTTCCCGGTTGCTTCTAAATTGCAGTCCAGGCTGCTGCAGCCCGGGCCCTAGTGAAGGAGCAGGACTAACCATTAATCCGCTTTGCCACTGGCCAGGTCAGAATAATGAAGAAAAGCTGTGTCATAAGGGTTTCCAAACACCTTCCAAGCAGCTGAGTTCCCCGTAAGCCCCTCAGCTCCAATGCTGATGTCAGAGTCCATGTGCTTGCCAGAAACACCAGATCACGTCCAGTAACCCATGACAGCCAATAGTTCTGAGTAGCTTATGCAGTCAGACCCCAGGCTGAGAGCAGCCGGACCCTGGACGCCAAGCCAGAAGCTCCTCCCCGCACGCACCTTGCAGCTGGCCCACGGCACCCTGGATGTTTATCACCCAGTGTCTGTCCCTGGTGATCTGCGTCTCAGCTCCAGCTGTATTCTCTTCTTCTCTAGCAAAACGGGGGCTGCACCAGTGGCTTCCAGGGCATGAACCTTCCCACTGCCTCCGGAGAGCTGTGGATCCTGGGTGACGTCTTCATCCGCCAGTACTTTGCCGTCTTCGACCGGGCAAACAATCAGGTCGGCCTGGCTCCTGTGGCTTAAGCCTGAGTCTTTGCTGCCACTTCCCAGGGAGACCTGACCTCCATCCTGTGCCCACTTTAGATGTATATAATTCTCCTGACTGCTCTTCCTATAGGACTGGGAGGTGGATTCTTGGCCCTGTTCCCTGTCATACCAATAATGTAGAATAAAAACATAACCCACTGAAAAAAGTTCTGTGGAGCTGCTTCTCTTGGCTGATATTTCTCCTTCATATCTCTGATATTTAACCCACATCTCTGGGTTCAGAACACCAGGGGGAGGGATGACACTTCATAGTAGAGCAAGGAAGACAACTGGTCACAGCAGTTCATGCTGGGAAAGCATCATCAAAAAAAGACCTGGGGACCAAAAGTGCTGGGCTTGCTGTCTCTTTATGGAAAAGAGCATCTAAGCTCTTAAAGAGTTGAAAGAGTCAACATCTCACTTCTCCTGAAGCCAACAAAAGATCATGAGAAGGAAAGGGGTCAAGGGGAGGTGGCCTCTGATGGTGGCATTCCAGGACAAGGTGGTGTTGTCTGCAGGACATGGACAGGACAGGCAAGAGAAGCTGGCATCTCACCACCCTCCAGGCCTCCCCTGTGATTAGGTAGCTGATTAAGAATCTCTGAGACTCCAGGTACAAGATCTGAGGAGGGCAGCCTTTCTGATTAAATAAATAGGATGGTTTTCCACCTCCCTGAGCAGAGGCTGAGAGAATTCAGCATGCTCCTTGGCATATACCAAGAAAGGCAAACAGGAAATAGTTAGAACAGCATTTCTTAAGGTGAGTTTGGTAGCAAACTGTTCAATGAAAAACACAATTTCAAGATACACATGAACATGCTACAATCTAGGCCTTTCTCCAAGATTCACAAAGCACAGTTCCCGATGAAAGGTTCTGAGAAGTCCTGCAGCAAAGTGACCCATTTCACCTTGACTGAGTTTAACTTGATCCCAGGTTCTCTCTAAACCTATTACAGCCCTGTGCTCCTGGCACTGACATTGAAAAAATTCCCAGGGTTCCTGCCTCTGCCAACAGCTGACCCAGGATGTCCACTGGAGACACTGGCCCAAAGGCTGGAGCTGGGTTTTGGGAAGGGTGGGTGGGCTCCACTATCCAGTGCTCCAAGTCCTCCCAACGTCACTCTCCCTCTTCTGAGCCAATCTGCCACAGCTGAATGATCTTTTTGAAACACAAATTAGGTCACATACCCCCTTGCTTAAAACCCTTAATTAATGCCCTGCAATTGGAATGCCCAACACTTGGAATAAAACAGCAGATCTTCAGAGTGGTATCCAGGGACTGTGTGCTCTGGGCCCTGAAGGCCTTTCCTGCCTCCCCTTGATCCCCTTACCCTGAGTTCCCTTCACACCGGCCTTCTACCCACTCTATAAGTTGCCCAATTTCTTTTCCATACCTTTGCATACACTGTTTCTTTTGTCTGGTTGCTTTTCCCTTTCTTTTCTCTTGCCAACACCTTAACAGCTGCAGACTGAGACATCAATCACCTCCCTGTGAAAGTGGTCAGCCTTCCCTGACCACTGTCTCCTAGAACCTGGCCCTCTTCCCTCGTGGCACAGCCTGTAATCATAGATTTACGTGTTTACTTCAGATCCACCATGGCAGGGGCTGTGATAGTCTGGCTTACTGTCAAATCCCCAGCTGCAAAAGCAGGGCCTGGCACACAGTAGGTGTTCAATAAATATTTGTTGCATATTTGATTAGAGATGACTTTGTTTTTTTTGAGACAGAGTCTCAAGCTGTCGCCTTGCATAGAATACGTGGCATCACAGCTCACAGCAACCTCCAACTTCTGGACTCAAGCGAGTCTTCTGCCTCCACCTCCCAAATAGCTGGGAACCCTCCAAAACACCTGGCTATTTTTTGGTTGCAGCCATCATTGTTGTTTGGCAGGCCCAGGCTGAATTCAAACCCTCCAGCTCAATGTGGCTGGCACCTTAGCCACTTGAGCCACAGGAGCTGAGCCAACTTTTTTTGTTGTTTAAAGACAGAGTCTCACTGTGTCACCCTAGGTAGAGTGCTGTGGCATCACAGCTCACAGCAACCTTAAACTCTTGGGCTTAAGCAATTCTCTTGCCTCACCTTCTCAAGTAGCTAGGACTATAGGCACCCACTACAACACCAGCTATGTTTTTGTTGTAGTTGTTATTGTCATTTGGCAGGCCCAGGCTGGGTTCGAACCTGCCAGCCCTGGTGTATGTGGCCGGTGACATGACTTTTTAAAAAGAAACAACTAAGACCAGATGAGTGAGTGGGTAAGATTTGACTAAGGACAACAGACTGATCAGCGTCCACCCCACCCCCAACATTCTATGTCAGTCATATTTGGTCATGGGATAAGCAGATAGATTTCTCAGATTTCTAGGAAGGGATTTCATCGAGTCTAGCTCCTTTGCTGCATTTGTTTTTCTGGTTTCCCATGCACCTGCTTTAGCCAGGCAGTGTGTGGAGCTCTGGATTGCAGCAGGTTCTCCCAAATCCCATCTGTTCTCCCACTCCTGACCACGTCCTTCCCTCCTTCCTTCCCCTTCTCAACTCCAGCTGCTGCAGCTCAGCCTCACCCCACCCCCAGCTCCTCTTCCATTCCCACCCTGGGATTCCTAGATCCAAACAGATCCTAAGGAGGCTCCCCATCAGACAGGTAATTGGGACTAGAAAGCCCTGGGCTAACATAGCTGATCTGATACTTCCCACCTTGCTCTGCGGGAAAAGATGGATTCACATTCCTGTCCCAGTCTCCAGCCTCGCCTTCATACATCTTTTTCCAAGGTGCCTCAGGAGTCCAAAGGCAGCTTAGTTGTCCTTTTCCTTCGCACTTAACCAGGAGTGTTATTTTAATCTTGCAGGTCTCTGCTCCACTCCTCCTAACCCTTCCCCAAGTCCACTCTTGCCCTCTGCTGGGAATGTAAATGGTATCACGCCAAAGGAGCACCAGGTGGCTACATCTGTCAAGATTAAATATGCACAAAACTTTTACTTTTGGCCCAGTAACTTTAAGATAAATTCTGGGAATTTATCTTAAAGATAAATTTACACACATGTAAAATGATGTAAAAACATGATTCTTTGTAGGATCATGTGGAAAAGCAAGATTTAAAATGATCCAAATGGCCCTATCCACAGGGGAGGGATAAGCAGTTTATGGTACATCCATGCAGTGATCCCCTGCACAGCTGGAGAAAGAAAAAATGGGCATGCTCTCTAAGTAAGCATACTAAGACGGATAGATCTTAAAAAGAGATTAAGTTGAGAGCAGAGAGAGAAAGAAGGAGGGAGGGGTGAGGAAAGGAAGAACAGAGAGGGAAGGAGGAAGGGAGGTGGGGTCTTGGTGTGTGCCACACCTTTTGGGGACAAGACATGATTGTAAGAGGGACTTTACCCAACAAATGCAATCAGTGTAACCTGGTTTCTTGTACCCTCAATGAATCCCCAACAATAAATTTTAAAAAGGGGGGTGCAGTGCCTGTGGCTCAGTGGGCAGGGTGCCGGCCCCATGTACCAAGAGTGGCGGGTTCAAACCCAGCTCCAGCCAAACTGCAACAAAAAAATAGCCAGGTGTTGTCGCAGGCACCTGTAGTCCCAGCTACTTGGGAAGCTGAGGCAAGAGAATCGCCTAAGCCCAGGAGTTGGAGGTTGCTGTGAGCAGTGTGATGCCAGAGCACTCTACCAAGAGTGACAAAGCGAGACTCTGTCTCTACAAAAAAAAAAAGGACAAGCAAAAGAGATTAAGTTTAGGAAAAAATAAACTGGTAGAAGCAAATAAGAATATTTGTTTACATATCAAAAAGGAATTCGGGAAGGATACTTCAAAACCAGAAACCAGGGAAAGAATAGGGGAAGGTCTCACTGAATACAACTTACACATTTTAATTTTTAATGATGTGGATGTACAACACATTCAAAGTAAGTGTTTAAAGCTGTGTTCAGCCAAGCACAGTGGCTTACACCTGTAGTCCTATTTGGGAAGCTGAAGCAAGAGGATAGCTTAAGGACAAGAGGAAGACCAGCCTGAGCAAGAGCAAGACCCCTGTCTCTACTAAAAATAGAAAAATTAGCCAGGTATGGTGGCAGGTGCCATCAGAGTCCCCACTACTCCAGAAGCTGAGGCAAGGAGAAGCAATTAAGCCCAGAAGTCTGAGGTTGCAGTGAGCTATGATGATACCACTGTACTCTAGCTGGGGCCACACAGTGAGACTCTTTTTCAAAAAAAAAATTTTTTTAAGCTATTTTGAAACCTCTGAAAGTGTATCCCAATTAGAAACCTACTATGACTTGTTTGCAGGCTCAATCATCTAACCTCCAAACTCAAGTCCCTTGAAATGGGTCTGATCATCTCACCCCCTGCAAAGCTCCCAGGTCCAGGGGAAGTGACACTGTGGGAGGGGCTTCTGACATACTCACCCCATCCTGTGCTGCTTCTCAGAACTGAGCTAAGTGGAATCCTAGCTAAAGGAAGATGCAGGATGTCTCCATCTAAGGACAAACAGTCCATTGCTTATTGGAGTCCAGATGGCTGAGAATTCAGACCAGCTCATCCCACTGAAAGAACTGCTCACCCCACTGAGGTCTCCAGGTGGTCTCCAGGTGGTCTCCAGCCCCGTGGTGCCAGCCAACTTTGGGCAGGAGCCATATACACTGGGGCTTGTCATGGAGAACATGTCCTTACATGTCCCAGAAGAAGGTCTGGCCCAGCCCAAATCTCTGCAGATGGCAACCACACTTCTTGTGCCTGGGAGTGCCAGAGAGGAAGTAGCCTCAGCTCTTGAGCAAAGCTGACATGCCCAGGAGCCTGACTCATCCCAGGAGGGACAAGAGTGCAGGAACAGCTACCCTGTAGCTCCACACCTTTGGTGGGGACAAGACAGGGGTGTGAGCATCCCTAGAAGGGCAGAGTTTAGATTGCCCATGGCAGTAGCCAGCTCATTACTGCATCTGAATTGGTCTCCTTCCCTTGACTCTCACCCAAATACTTAGCTCCTGGTCTGCTTTGGGGGGAACCCAAACTAAAACAAGGTGGGCACAGCATCCCACCCTAAACTGCAGTGCCAACTCTCTCTGAAGGCCAGAAGAAGGACCTAATCGAGTGAGATGTGAAGGAAAAAAGCCAGGACTGGGAGTCAGGAGAAGGAAGCTTTCTTCCCAGCTCAGCTGCCATAACCTGTGCAACCTTAGAGCACTCTCCAAACCTCTCTGGGTCTCTGCTGTCTCAGCTGTAATACTGGGGCTGAGTGATGGTCCAGATAAGCTTTTATTTCTTTCTTTACTTGAGACAGGGTCTCGCTCTGTCACCCGTGCTGGAGTGCAGTGGCATCATCATAGCTCACTGCAGCCTCAAATTCCTGGGCTTAAGCAATCCTCCTGCCTCAGCCTCCCAAGCAACTGGGGCTACAGATGCCCACCACTATGCTTGGCTAAGTTTTCCATTTTTTATAGAGATAGGGGTCTTGCTATGTTGCTCAGGCTGGTCTCAAACATCTGGCCTCAAGCAATCCTCCCATTTCGGCTTCTCAGATTGCTAGGATTATAGGCATACGCCACCGCACCTGGCCCAGATAAGCATGTTTTTATACTTGGACCAACTTGAGAAAAATGTTTACAGCTGTTCTTGTTGCCCACCCACCCATTCCTTGCCTTTTAATATTCAAAATGAACATCATTGACTTGAGTCTTATGGGGGCAGGGAAGACTTGTGTCAAAATTTAAATTACATGTGGATTTACTGAGTAGAGGAATAGTAATGAGAAAACTGGCACTGATTTTCAGCCACTACCAGTCTGACAGCTGGGCTTGTTTGAGAAGTTGCAATGTTGAGGCAGCAAGCATTCTGTACTCTCATCCTGAAATGGGGTCTGGGGAGACATCGTGAAGGTGTCTGCAGCAAGCTCAGAGGCCACAGGATCACAAGTACAGACCACCAAGAATTACAGAAGCATAAGGCAGGGCTAGTTTTATCCCTGTTGTCCAGATGAGGGGCGGAGACCTGAGACCCCACAGCTAGTCAGCAGTTGACGAGCTCCACAGACCCTCAATCATCACCGTTTGTGTGTTACTGAATGAAATGGTCGGTCTCTCAGGCCTTTACATGTCTCAACTCTGATTTTCATGCTCCTAACTCCCAAGTTCATTATTCCTGCCACTATACTCAGATCAGGCATCTGGGCTGGGGACCCCCGATGGCCCCCTGCAGCCAGCAGCAAGCACTCCAGCAGACCCCTCACGACAGCAGATCAGAGAAGGGCCAAGAGGTGGGTGGCCCTTGCATACAGGTGGGGTGGTGCCCTAGAGCTGTAGCTTACTCTGCAGCCTCCAAGGGTTTTAGTGGTAGCAAGTGATGACTCAGCGACAGTGTAGCTGTGTTCCAGCCCGCTCTCACCTCACCCTAGCAATGAACTGTGCTGCAGTGACCACGTCCCCCTCCCCCAGCTGCTAAGAAGGCTGTTGGCTGGCAGTTCTCAGCATCAACCCTCAGAGGGGGCAGACCTGTCTGGGAGAGCTGCCTTTCCCAAGCTCAGAACCCCTCCTGGGGAGGCGCAGAAAGAACTACTGGTTAGCATGCTGGTACGAAGCCCTGTGCCCTGGCCCCAACTCAGGATGACTCTGAAGACCCATCCTAGCCTCACAGCAAGCAAAGGTGCTGGCTAAGGCTCCGGGACCACACCACAGCCCAACTGGCCCCCCAACCGGCCTCCTGCTCCTCTCTCCTGCCCATAGGTATTCATGCTGGGAACGCACCCTAGGAGAGCCTCTGCCTACTCTATCCTCCCAGAGGCTCCTTCCCAGGTGTCCAACTTGCAAAGACCACTCCATCGTCTTTTCCCTTCTGCCTTCAGAAGAGGCCTCCTGTAAGGCCACCAGGCACTTATACAAGACTCGTCCCCTGCCCAGCCCCAGTTTGATGCCCACTTCTCTCCCAAGCAGAGGGTTAGGGTGTGGGCTCATTTACCACCTGTGGGTTTGGGGTAGGGTGTCCCACCTTCCTCAGGTGAGAAGGGAATGAGCAGGGCAACCTGGGGAAACTGAGACAAGCTTTAATCGGGAAACCTCAGTAGAGGACATATGAGGACTGGTAGCAGAGTCCCAGTGGAATCCCGGCCTATCTGCTCCTCTTCCTCCAGAAGAGAGCTTGGCAGCCTTGAATTTTCTCTAAAGACGAGCCAGCATGTGGTCCAGGGAGGATGCTGACAGTGGAGAGCACCACTTGCTTAATTCTTTCAGCACCTTCCTAACACTCCTCAGGAACAAGGTCACATCCAGCTGGGGGTCTTCCATCCCCACCAGGAGCCCTGCACAAGTACATCCTGGCAGGGGCTGCTGCACATGCCACAGGCCACTGGCAGAGTCTCTTCTGTCCAGAGCCTCCCAGGCATAGTGACCTGCTTACTCAGTGGACTCTTCCCCCTTTGAGGTCCCTGCTGAGGGCCACCGGGGACCAGGACGGACGGTGGCAGCAAGGGCCGAAGAAAGGCTGGAGGTGGTGGGAGAGGTATGAGACTTGAGGAGGGTGATGGGGTTCTCCGATGGAGTGGGGTCCATTGTGGAAAGTGCTGAAGCTTCAGTCAGGAGGGCAGCAGGCAGAGAAGGCCACCTGGATGCTGTCTGGGGCCCAGAGTCTGAGGAGGAGCCCTTCAGAGTCACAGAAGGTGGCTGAGGAGTCCCCAGAGAGGCTGGAGGTAGAATGGAGGCTCCTGAAGGGGTCAAAGGCCCTGGTGGGAGTCGAGAAAACTGGGTAGCCCTTGGCTCCCCTGGGAAAGTGGTCCCTGGCCCCAAAGTGGGTGAGGGTGAAACCTGAGCCCGTGAGGGGCCTGGAGGTAAAGTTTGCGTATTAGACAAGTTTGTTCTTAAGAGGAGCTGGAGAAGATGGAGCATTGGCCTCAGGGGTGATGCTGACAGAGGCCCTGGGCAGGAGCTACAGTTGACAGGGGCCTTAGCATCTCCACGGGGGCTCCGAGCAACTTTGCTGAATTCCACATCTCCAGAAGGGGACAGCCCCTGTCCTTCTTCCAGAGGAAATGGAGAATCTAGAGAGGAGGGGGAAACAGGATACACCATGGTTCTCCCCAGTGGCTGAAGTGGGACAAGCAGGGCTGTGGACAGACACCCAAACCCTGTCCTCAGAGAGCCTGAGGATGCCTGGTCAGGACCAGCCAGCTTCTGCTGTCAGGGGAGAAGACTGAAAAGGAACCATGAACAAAGGGAGGCAGTTCCTTCTATGACCTTGTACAAGGCACCTAACTCCCCTGGGCCTCAGTTTCCTCCTCTGTAAAATGGGCATAAGAATAAGGACTGATTCTCAGAGTCTCATGTGTAGAAAAAAAAAGGACTGAGTCTGAATGAAAGAGTACATGGAGAATCTCAGTCTAAACTCCAATGTAAACTAGGAGTTGAGCCCAGGAGTTCCAGACTTCGGCTGTTAATGATATGTCACTATAGGCTTCGAAATCATAATAAATATGCCACTCTGGTGTGGGCTGTTAATAATGGGGAGGAGGAAAAAAAAGAAAACTAGAACAGGCTTGGCGCCCATAGCACAGTGGTTACAGCACCAGCCACATACACTGAAATTGGTGATTTCGAACACAGCCCGCGCCAGCTAAAACAACAATGACAACTGCAACAAAAAATAGCCGGGTGTTGTGGTGGGCACCTGTAGTCCCAGCTATTTGGGAGGCTGAGGCAAGAGATTCACTTAAGCCCAAGAGTTTGAGGTTGAGCTGTGAGCTGTGATGCCTCAGCACTCTACAGAGGGTGACACAGTGGGACTGTCTCAAAAAAAACTAGAATAATTTAAAAAATCATTAAGAAGATCATTGTATACCTATGGATATGCTAAAAGCCACTGAATCACAACTTTCCATGTGTGAATTGCATGGCATACGAATTGCATCAAGGAAACTGTTCTACCTTTAAAAAAACACCAAAAGAGAACAATTCATATTCTATTTCAATAAAAAGTTGCTTTTCCTTAAAGGAAAAAGCATGTGACAAACACATGTGGCAAACGTAGCCAAGGCAGGGTGCTCCAGAAGAAGGAGCTGGGCTCTGTAGGTCGCCTCTTTGGGCCTCAGTTTCCCCATGTGAAGGCAGGCATGCAGTGGGAAAGAGCACAGGATAAGGAGTGAGAGAGAACTAGGCTCGAGTCCAACACCGCCAACTAGAAAATTAACCTTCTCGGAGTCTCCATTTCTCTATCTGCAAAATGGAGATAATACAGTAGCAATATCCAGATATTCTTTTTTTTTTTTTGAGACAGAGTCTTATTATGTTGCACTCAATAGAGTGCTGTGGTGTCACATTTCATAGCAACCTCAGACTCCTGGGCCCAAGCGATTGATTCTCTTGCCTCAGCCTCCCAAATAGCTGGGACTACAGGTGCCCACCACAAGGCCCGGTTATTTTTTTGTTGTAGTTATCATTGTTGTTTTTTAGCAGGCTAGGGCCAGGAACGAACCCGCCAGCCCCAGTGTATGTGGCCAACACCCTAACCACTGAGCTACAGGTGCCAAGCCACAATGCCCAGATATTCTCATTAGCACTTAAATGAGGTAATACAGGGAGAGGGTTCAATACACTGCTTGGCACATTAGCCAGCAGTTAGTCTCTAGAAAGCCAGGGGAAGATCAGTTTGCAGAGGCATTTATGGTGTTCAAAACAAAGTAAAATCTTTAAAGTATTCAATGGTTTCCAACATAGTGATATCACATGCTTAGTGGATGGATGCTCCCAGTCCTACCAGTCTAACAGTAAGTAGCTCATCACACACCAATCTGAAGAACTGCCTTGCAAACAGGAGATAGCCTTCAAAAAGGCAGAGAAGGCCAGGCACAGTGGCTCACATCTGTAATCCCCAAACTCTGGGAGGCTGATGTGGGAGGACTGCCTGAAGCCAGGAGTTCAAGACTAGCTTGGATAACATAGTGAGACCCCATCTCTAAAAATATATAAAAATTAGGGCTCGGTGCCTGTGGCTCAAGCGGCTAAGGCGCCAGCCATATACACCTGAACTGGCAGGTTCAAATCCAGCCCGGGCCTGCCTAACAACAATGATGGCTACACCAAAAAATAGCCGGGCATTGTGACAGGCATCTGTGGTCCCAGCTACTTGGGAGGCCAAGGCAGAAGACTCGTTTGAGCCCAGGAGTTGGAGGTTGCTGTGAGCTGTGATGCCACAGCACTCTACCCAGGGGGAAAGCTTGAGGCTCTGTCTCAAAAAAATAATAATAATAATAAATAAATAAATAATATCTATATATAAATTAGCCAAGCATGGTGTTGGCACACTGATATTCCCAGCTACTCAGGAGCCTGACATGGGAGGAATGCTTGAGCCTAGGAGTTCCAGGCTGCAGTGAGCTCTGATGATGCCACTGCACTCCAGGCTAGGTAACAGAGTGAGACCCTGCCTCTTTAAAAAAAAAAAAAGGCAGAGGAGTTAAACAGATATTTTATATTTTATACAAGAGAAAATCCAGGCCACAAATCAGTGACAAAAAATTACCTGTCTTCCTAGAAATTTAAAAAAAATAAAATAGATCCAACAATCCTAATTCTGGATATTACCCAAAAGATTTAAAAATCAGTGTGTTAAAAAGATATCTGCACTCCCACGTTCACTGCAGCACTATTCACAATAGCCAAGCTATGGTATCAACCTGAGTGTCCGTCAGCAGATGGGTGGATAAAGAATATAGGTTACATACAGACACAACGGAATACTATTCAGCCTTTAAAAAGAAGGAAATCCTGTCCTTTGTGATAACATGGATAGAATTACAGAATATTATACAAAGTGAAATAAACCAGGCACAGAAAGACAAACTACTGCACGGTGTGTTTTATATATGGAATCTGAAACCGTTGAACCTGGGTATGGGTGGAAATGTAGGAAGACAAGGTCGAGAATTAGAGGCAGAGGAGGGCGCCCTCTTGAGGTACCCACATAAATTGGATTTTTATGTTAGAAATGTTTTAATTGAAGAGGATTAGTTAGAGGACGCAGATTCTCTAGGACAGATAGAAGATGTGGATTCTGAAAAGAGTCTGTACCAGAAGGAGACCACAATGCATATCAGGAGCCCCAAAAGTCTGCTGAACAGCAGCAGCACAGGCCTTGGAAAAAAGGATAAGAAATGTCTTGCTGAGGCCTGACCTTTCCCCTATAGAGAGTCTATACAAAGGTCCCTGGGGGCAATGAGCAGTTGCTAGATGTGTTGGGAACAATGCATGCAGCAGGCTCTCTGTAAAAGAGGAACAACCTCTTGGGGTTGAGATAAGAGGAACAACTGCTTTCTCCCCTGCTCCCAATAGGGGTGTGGCTTCAGCCTGTCTGCCTGCAGGGACCCAGAGACTTAATTGCCTCCACTGGAAACTGTGTGCGTGGTCAAACCTGCTGTCAGCTCTCACATCCTGCTTCTAAGTCTTGTTTCTTGATCTATGAACTGCATCCAAGTTCCAAAGTTTATAAATCACTTAGAGTGGAGTAAAGTCGTTACAAAAGTTAAAAAGTAGCTTAGCTGAAATTGTAAGTACAGTGAGAATGATAACAGTGTTGTTTTTGTTTTCTTTCATAACTATTTATTTGCTGATTTGAAGATGATACTCAGTCAACCCAGAACAAGGGGCCTTAGCTGTTCTCACATTAGGTGGCGAGGGTCCCCTCAGCCTACTCTTTTTAAATCTTACTTTGTCTCTTGTCTTTCTTTCTTTCTTTCTTTTTTGTTTTTTTAAGACAGAGTCTCAAGCTGTCGCCCTAGGTAGAGGGCCGTGGCATCACAGCTCACAGCAACCTCCAACTCCTGGACTCAAGCCATTCTCCTGCCTTGGCCTCCCAAGTAGCTGGGACTACAGGTACCCGCCACAACACCCGGCTATTTTTTGGTTGCAGCCGTCATTGTTGTTTGGCGGGCCCGGGCTAGATTTGAACCCTCCAGCTCAGATGTATGTAGCTGGTGCCTTAGCCACTTGAGCTACAGGCGCCAAGCCATCTTTATTTCTTTCATTGTCTCATCACCATCAAGCATTGGGGATACCCATGGGTTGTGTGGGGGCTGGCTCCCTCCACCTAGGCCAGGCACAGTGGCTCACACCTGTAATCCCAGCACTCTGGGAGGCCAAGGTAAGTGGATAGCCTGAGTTCGGGAGTTCGAGACCAGCCTGAGCAAGAGAGACCCCCATCTCTTAAAAAAATAAAGAAAGAAAGAGAAGTAGCTGGGCATTGTGGCAGGCACCTGTAGTCCCAGCTACTTGGGAGGGTAAGGCAAGAAGATCGCTTGAGCCCAAGAGTTCAAGGTTGTTGTGAGCCATGATACCACAGCATTCTACCAAAGGTGACAAAATGGTACTCTATCTCAAAAAATAATAAATAAATAAATAAGAAATAAGAAAGCAGAGGAATAGATTAAGGAAGGAGGTAATGAGCAAGAAAAAGGAACAGTAAATAAACAAATGCCAGGCAGGACATCCTGACATGGCTTTATGAGCACTGGCTGAGCATCCCCAAACCCCACCATGGCTGTGCAACCTCAAGCAAGCTACTTCCCTCTCTGAGGCTGGGTTTCTCACATACAGTCCTTTATAAGTTCTATGTTTCTGGGAAGAAGAGTGAAGCAGAAGAGGATGTTGGTGAAACTACAGGACCCAGAAACCTGCTTACCTGGGCAGGTGGAGCAACAGTCCCCAGGGAGCAGGGAGGGGTCAGCACAAGCCCGCTGGCAGGAGACCTTCTCACAGCTCACCTCTCCCAGCTGGGAAAGCAGAAGGACATCCATTAGGAAACCCTGAGCCTCTTGCCTGCCCCAGGCAGTGTCTTCAAGGGACTCTTGTACCAGCAGCGGAACCCACAGAAAGATCCCAGGAAAGAGAGAGGCTGCAGCGTCTGGGTCCTCGCCTGGAGAACACATTAAGCCAACCACAGCAGGGCTGCCTTAAGGAAACAGCTTCTCCATCGGGACTTCCATAAAAAGGTAGGAGATGCTCAAAAGCAGTTAAAGTAAAAAATCATTCTTTCAATTCCTCACTTCCAAGATAACAAAGGAAAGAAGGAACAATGGTCATGTCCAAAAGAGCCATGGTCATGTACAGCCTATTCACTGCATAAACTACACCTAATGCACGCCCAAGGACAAGGCTATTAAGATGTGAATCACTCGGCTCGGCGCCTATAGCTCAACCGGCTAAGGCGCTAGCCACGTACACCTAAGGTGGCGGTTCGAATCCCCAGCCCGGACCTGCCAAACAACAATGACGGCTGCAACCAAAAAAATAGCCGGGCGTTGTGGCGGGCGCCTGTGGTCCCAGCTACTTGGGAGGCGGAGGCAGGAGACTGGCTTGAGCCCAGGAGTTGGAGGTTG